ATTGGATGTCAGTAGCTAGGAAATTTGGAACCCATGCACTCACAAATATAAATTTCACTACTCTAACTTAGCCACTATATATAAGATCGACCACCGTCACAATCCAATACTATATGGCTTTATTCAGTGTTTTGTATATAAGCTACAAGTAAATATGATGTTGTCTGGTACACAATTCAAACTATGGAATTATGGATGATAAAACTTGAGAGAGATTTAGAAGAAGAAAAAAGATATGAATAATTGAAGACAGTAAATAGAGAGACATACTATGCCCACAACTTTTCCAGAGCTTTTCCTTATTAGTTTTTTTCTTAAAAACAAAATATATAAAGAGGAAAGCTGAAATGAAATTACTTGATATATAAATTCAAACTATTGAGTGAACAGTCAAGAAACTATTGTGGGTAATATTTGAAACAGTTTGGACCGACCACGCATTGTGATTGTCATGTGGTGTGTTGTCTTTTTGAACCAACCATCAAATAAATCCTCTTACATCAAATATTTACTATGAATTATAAACTACTTTCTTCAAAACTAATGTATGCATATCGGACGATTCGATTTTGGTATGGAATGAGGTCCGTGTTTAAGATCTAATACCATGTTAAGTTGATAAACTTCCACCTTAAATATAATACCATGCTTCAAAAACTAATTATGTTTATTATGATATTTTATTCAAAATCGAATCGAAATAAAATTTCATTATATTTTAGACCTATAGTTTTGTAACGAATACAAAGATTTATCAACTAAACCTAGACAAATTACTGAATACGCATATTTAAATAAATATCAAGTTTACTACTTTAATTTTATCTTACTTTTGATATATGAAGTACACCAAACACATTTATGGTGCCATGAGGTTAACCAAGGATTAAGACGTAAACTCGCAGAGCGTGTGTTTGATTTTAGTGTCGAACAACCGAAATGTACGTGAACCATTTCGGTTTGAGTCCTTTAAAATGATGGACCACTGGAGCGAAAGGGTTTGTTCATCCATCAAAGTAGTTAGACTTAATATGGATCACCGATATAAATAAATCAACAAAAAGAACCCAAAAAATACAATTTACAGTACACTTTTTTTTTTGTTTTGAAAATTTTACAGTAGACTTGAGTCACACAAAATCATATTGTTTATACATTTTCATTTAGAGACTACATAATCTAAAGACTATATATAAACAACACATGGCTAGAAGTAGAGACACAAGACACAACATGAAAGCCGCTCCACATAAAACCTGAGAGATTCAAGGAGCTGATGTATTCACGAGATTACCACCAACAAGACAAGTTCCTTCAAAATAGGTTCAAACAAAAGTCTTTGAATAAAGAAGAAACATGTGTGTATGGCCTTACAAAAAAATAAACGATCAAGTACTCTTTCTTTTTAATTTGTGTCTTCTCTTCTCTTCCCAATTTCATGTCTTTGAAAGTCCCTACCTCTTTGTCTCTCACGACCCCACACGTGTCACTCTCAGTCACTTCCATTTATAATTGCT